ATCCTATGAGTAATAAAATCTAATCGGGTTTACGCGCGCCCCCACGCTTGATATTACAGGCGCAAAAAATTGCTTTTAACAGATAAAAATCCACGAAGAAAAATGTCAGTGGCAAAAGCCGCCCACCTGCCCCTGTACACAACATAATCAAGAAGCATCTCCGTCTAGAAATAGAGACACTAGTTACCTCCAGGACATTAGCTTTGCGGCGGAAACTACTCTGTAGGGACATTGTTAAGATACGCAGTCGTCAGAAAGAGCATCACAGGGCTTTGCGACATGGACTGCAATGACGTGGTAAAGCTCCACAATTGTTTTATTATAACATATTCAACCTTTATGTTGTGTTGAATGTCACCCAGATCTGTTGAGAAGTGGTACCGGAAGTACGACGAAGAAAACAAACATAAACAGAGAGGAAACAGCATGGAAAAATGCAGAATTAACATACTTTCTGGAAGTTTGACTACTGGCGACCTTAGAACAACGTTTGTAATATTTAAAGAATTGTGAAAATCTTTAATACAAGGAAGATTAGAACAATTAATTTTGCACGATATCTTAAGAGAAGCAATCCAGCCGTATTTAATTAACTTGCCACTCATTTCAATGACAGAAGAATGTGTTAGGATATAATTCCCCTGTTGAAGCAACGGGCCATTGTATCAGCGTCGAGTTTCAGCTATAGGGTTTAGTTATCGAATCCCGGATTTTAGTGGGACTCAGATATAGGGAGTGAAAGTACTATTGAATCTTCTAAGTAGACGCTTAGAAAATGATAATTAAGAAAAATCTTAAACAAAACCTATCACTTGATATCGGATTTCGGTTCCCTTGGTGGGCACAATACAGATAGCGCCTTATGTAGCTTTGTGCTTAACTACAAACAAAACATACAAACACATTATACAGTTAAGAAACGACAATAAGCTCCCTATTTGCAACAACCTTGGGGAATCAGTTATAAGGCCCGGCATAACAAGGTGATTATGGAGCTCGACTCGCAATCTGCGGGTTCGAATCCCCATCTCTCCAAACATGCTCGCCCTTTCAGCCGTGGGGGCGTTATAATGTGACGGTCAATCCCACTATTCGTCGGTAAAAAAAATAGCCCAAGAGTTGGCGGTGGGTGGTGATGACCAGCTGCCTTCCCTCTAGTCTTACACTGCTAAATTAGGGATAGCGAGCGCAGATAGCCCTCGTGTAGCTTTTCGCGAAATTCAAACAAATTAACAGAAACAATTATGTCCAAATACATAGTCGTTCTTAGAAACATTCAAGAAATATAATAAAAAAACGATGAAGGCTTATCGACCACGATTATGATAGTTCAGCGCGAAAAGAAAAAAGAAAGAAAAAAAATAGAGAGAGGAAATTATCAACATTTTTTATAGTACAAAACATTTCACCGTTCCGGGAGGAGACATTGGATTTTCGTATCAATTTGCTTTATTAATTTTAACGCTATTTGTTTTGAGTAAGAATGAACTTCTCAAGGACTTTGTGGTGTATTGCTGGTAACGCCTGTTGTTTCAACTGATGTACTTATTAATGTTAAGCGTTGTGGTACGAGGTAATGAGAACTAATGTAAATAAGCATAATTTTTGTGAGTGCGTTTAACATGTTAATTAATAGCATGTGATTTGTGTAACCGATAGAGAGTTTAAATGGTAAGATGTTTTTGTCATACGTCACGTGATTATCAAGCCAAAAGGAAAACGACTAAAATTGGTTTTAACTTGCGTGCTAAAATAGAATAAAAAGAGCTATATTTTAAGTCGTCAAGAAATTAATGTCGCGTTTTGGAACACTTCCATTAACCCCCCCCTAAAAAAAATAACGTACATCAAGTATAATAGTTAAACGAACCGCCTAAACATCACGTCAGTGTAGCCTATATAATGTGTAAAGTTTAGTATATTCTAAATCCAGGGATTTAATTGACTGGATTAGCGAGCGAGATTGGTAGTGAACAATGCCACGAAAAAGTGAACGGGCTAGCAGTCATACTGAGAGAGGAGGGAAGGAC